TAATATTTACAATTTTTGCAAATTGACAGTTTCCGAAAATTAACTATTTTAACCGATATGTTTCTATGGGGTCGTTTAAAACAAATTGTTTATGCTAGTCCAACACCAAAGAATATTGAAATACTAAAAGGCAGAATTACCCAATATCGCAGGAAGAAATTAGAAATTCCTTCAGACATCTAAGGAAGCAATTAGAAAGGTGTGTTCAATATGGAGGTGGTATTTTTGAAATTTGTTATCTTCATCATATTGGTTTGTTTACTTTTTTTAGCTTAATTGTTGTAATTATGTTCGTATTATTTGAAAATTACACTTAGATTAGACGTATTTTAGTTTTGTACTTTATTGCCTGTATAAAATATTAAATTTTTGATAACGCGACTCTCATTAATTTTTCAAGCAAAACCTTTTATCAAAAATGCTTTTTTTTCGTATCTTGCAAAATAAGGTATGTTTACTCTTACGCAAAATAACATTTTTGTTTTCGACCCACCCTGTACAATAAAATTGAAGTTCGTCATGGTGCTTCGTATTTTCTAAACAAGCAGAAACTTTTATCAAGAATGCCTTTTTGCGGTTCTTTCACTTTTTGGTCCATTTGTCCTCTTGTATACTCAATCCCCGGACATACTGTATGCAAGTACTAACTATTGTCTACAATCAAAAGAGACTTTTTTATTTTCGTTCCACAAAATATCGAAACAAAATATATCCTTCACTGAGAAAGCCTCATTAAATAATATTATTTTTTAATACTCTATGAAGCCAGTATTATACAATTTAGAATGTCTCTTCTCGTGTACCATCTACTATTGTCTACAATCAAAATAAGAGACTTTTTTATTTTCGTTCCACAAAATATCGAAACAAAATATATCCTTCACTGAGAAAGCCTCGTTAAATAATATTATTTTTTTAATATTCTATGAAGCCAGTATTATACAATTTAGAATTTCTCTTCTCGTGTACCATCTACAATTGTCTACAATCAAACGAGACATTTTTATTTTCGTTCCACAAAATATCGAAACAAAATATATCCTTCACTGAGAAAGCCTCATAAAATAATATTATTTTTTAATACTCTATGAAATCAGTATAATACAATTTAGAAGTTCTCTTCTTGAGTACCATCTACTATTGTCTGTATTCAAAAGAGACTTTTCTATTTTCGTTCCACAAAATATCAAAACAAAATATATCCTTCACTGAGAAAGCCTCATAAAATAATATTATTTTTTAATGCTCTATGAAGCCAGTATTATACAATTTAGAATTTCTCTTCTCGTGTACCATCTACTATTGTCCACAATCAAAATAAGAGACTTTTTTTATTTTCGTTCCACAAAATATCGAAACAAAATATATCCTTTACTGAGAAAGCCTCATTAAATAATATTAGTTTTTAATATTCTATGAAGCCAGTATTATGCAATTTAGAATTTCTCTTCTCGTGTACCATCTATTATTGTCCACAATTAAAAGAGACTTTTTTTATTTTCGTTCCACAAAATATCGAAACAAAATATATCCTTCACTGAGAAAGCCTCGTTAAATAATATTATTTTTTAATATTCTATGAAGCCAGTATACCTAATACAATTTAGAATTTCCCTTCTCGTGTACCATCCGATACAGTTTGAGCATAAATATCAGATTATGGTAATCTACTCTTGTATTTCATAAATAAAAGGGGTGAGTTTTAAAAAGTAAAAGTCAACCTATTCATTTATTACCTATAATTTATTACTTTCATTGAGTTTTTGTGTAATAATCACATTCGTCTGGTGTGCTTAAATGTTAGATATATATTATATATAAGCAATAAACAAACCAGTATATCTGTGAAATGATAAAGATTGTTTCTTTAGGAAAAATTCTCTGAAAAAGTTATTATACATATTTCCTTTCAAACTGGAATTCATATCATACAGTCCCTGGAAAGACGACCTACATTTATCCTTTCATATTGTCTGAAAAATTTAATTTAGAAATACAAGAGCCTTCTACGCAGAAAAAATGCTAGTCAAGGAAATATTTTACGTACAAAGATGTTTCTGTCACGTCGAGTCTAAGTACATATATTTCACAACGGAAATAAATAATTCCCCTGAAAATTCCTTGAGAATTCCCAAGTACATTTTTAAATTCTTAATTTGTGATATGTGCGATGCGATTAATTCTAGTATATTCTGGATTTACTACTCACTACTATCGGCCGCTGTTGGTACTGCCTACTTAGCAACGTAATAATCCATGACATAATTGGCAATACAGATGTTCCTAAATCTGATTTTCGATGAAGACATCGTTATCATCATATTTTGATATTATTGTGAGGAATTCCCATCAAATATAATAAACAAAAATATACAGTATTTTCGCAATAAAATTATAATTTTTCCTGTATTAGGTGTAATAATACTATCAATAATAACATGTAAACATTTTGACAATTTAATGTAACAATGATTGATGTAAAACAGCTATTCTTGGAAAAGAGCCTAAACAAATAAACATTATCTGCCTTATATAATTAAATTCTTAAGTGTGTAACAAATTTTCCTCACATAAAAGTCATTCATTCTGAATCTCCCAAAGTTCCTAAACAATTTATTTATAAATGTACTTCTTTGTTTGCTTTTATATTATGTGAGACGAAGAGTTAATTAAAAAATATTGTGATATAACTGACATTTTATTTAATATGCTATAAATTTTAGTACAAAAAGCCTTAATTAATCAAATGTCTAAACCACCAGCTTTCAAGATGTAGAATGTTGAAATTTAATGAAAATATCAAATTTATTCAAATATTTCTGAAAATTTTGAAGTAGATAAAAAAATTGTATTTACATTTCAATTAGTGAGCATTGGGACTAAAAGGAATTACGTTGCAGCTTTTACAATATTTGACCAATTCCGACCAATAAATTTTGATTAGAATTAAAACAGATTCCTGAGATTTAGTTTCTGATATAGTATGAGTTAATTTATATTGTTTCTAAAAACATAACTAAAGTCACATAACATAATTAAAGTTACTAAATGTCAAGCATAATGATAGTAAATATTAGAAAGTTTGGAAACTTTCCATTAATGTTTTGTTTTTTTCATCAGTAGATCAATTTTCGAATCGATCGAATTTCGAATAAATCAATCAACAGATCCAGATCAAGCGTTTCTATATTAAAAATAATGCAAAGCTTGATTTACGAGATACATCTTTAGAGACGTGATAGGAACTTTTTTTGTTTACAAAGCGCTTAGACTTGGCATTCTCTAAAAAAAATAATGTATAATGATATATCGACCTTGGTAAGAGCTTTGGTTAAATGTTCCTTTAAATTATTTAATCTTATTTGAAAAACTAGTTTAAATTAATATCGACATTTTAAGACAACTATTTAAGATTAGTTTTCAATATATCTACCTGTGAGTGTAGCCTCCTGCCTTCTGCAACCCGTTTTCACTATATCAAACTGGGGTCACATATATTGACAAAAAATAATATGTATATATATATTTTGTTTAATAAGAATTGCAAAGATCATTTGGTACCCATATACAGGTCTGCTCGCTCAGTTGAAGAATGCGCGCGCGGACAAACGGCGCACAAACGCAACCATACTGGGCGACCGGCCATAAATTTCAGTTGTTGGCGAATTGCCTAACAGTGCAGTGCAGCAATGCGGAATTTGATGTGATTCAGGTAATTTTAATTTATTATTTATTACTTATTTATTTTTACTTATTTACTTACTTTACTTATTTTTACTTTATTTTTACTTTATTTTTACTTTATTATTATTATTATTACCTTCTATTAATCATCGTATTACAATTGCGAAAGGGAGAAATAAGAGGGATATTTTGTTTACTAATGCTATTACAACTTGGCATTTTTTAGACCTTTTGAAGACCAAAACGAAATACCGCCGGACAATATTGAATTAGTACAACCAGTTGTTGATGAAACAGATTTAGAATTTAAAAATAAAGATTTACGTGTTCATGCGTCTCATTTTAAATATTTACGGTTGTATAAAAAAGGGAAAAAATGAAAAAAAATCAGATAATGAAATTATAAATAGAAGGAAAGACTATACCACTGAGGGACATTTTTGTAAAATTTGTTACGTCTTTGAGAGAAATGAGGATATTAAACAAAGCTAATGAGTAAATCCAAAAAAGCAGCATCTAGTAAACTATGTCCTAAATCATAATATTATAGAAATGAAAAATAAACATCTGAAGAATTGACATGCATGAAGAAGGTATCTCTATTACTGCAATTTCTCTTCCGTATGCCCTTCCATTTTTTTAACTAAAATTATAGGAAACATAACCGGGACAGTACAAAAGTCTAAGCAAAAGTTCATTACAAAATCTTAAAACACTATAGAGTTAGTATTTTGACATCATAGGTGACACTTTTCGTCGAGAAATGTATATTATTACAGAAAAATGTTTTTTTTAATTTCAACGTTGTTGCAGCTGGACAAAAACTCATTTGTCCGATGGTCCAATTCAAATTTGAAATATTTCGCTAAGTTGTCAGTGCCAATAACGGCCAATAATAGCGGCTAATCGCTTAAGTGTAAATATATTTTTTTATAAAAAAAATAAACAATATTCTTTCATCAGTCAGTAGTCACAGGAAAACACAATTCCCCGCCGAATCCTACTTTTCAACACGCACTGATGCCTAATCTTAACAAAGCTAATGATTTATCTGGAAAACGTCGACTCAACTAGATAGTTAATAAGAAATAATTATTGTTTTTTTATAAATAGAAGATAATAAGCCTGTGACTCAGCTCATTACCATGTGCGTTTTTTACGTCCAACGTAAATATTTTGTCCCACAAGGTTAATTAAGGAACTTTCTCAGTTCGATCGGATGCTGGAAAAGTTACAGCGTTCCGATGAACTGATGTTGACGTTCTTTTGTTTGTTTTCGCGGTGAGTGCTTTAGTTAACTCCGTTTTTTGTTCCAGGATTACGTTTAAAAATGATCAAAGTGGACGAGAACGACCCCATAGGAGGTAAGTCTTTGTTGTTTTATTTAAAGGACTGACGCGCCGTTTGAGTGTTTCATTGACTGGTGATTTTCTGCAGAACTAGAGGTTAAGGTAAATAACTATTAATATTCATGTACTTATTCACGTACCAACTCTAATTATTCGCGATGGCTTGTTTTTCTGGTATATATTTTGTACCATTGTTCCACAATGGAATTGAAAGAAATAGATGATGTATAACCTTTTATATGCACTTGTAGATGGCGTATAAGAACATGATTTATTTTTAAGAAAAAAAATTGTGAAGGTGATCACTGATCATTAAATATTTATCTTATTGCATTGAAATACCAGAACTTTTTTAATCGTCTTAAAATTGCAAGAATTTCACAATGAGTTAAAAAATTAATTAACAGCTTACCTAAAAATTGAAGCTGCATCACAGAAATGGTTGGATGTTTTTGCAATAGTGTGTCATTCTTTAATTCGACACATGACGTGTCACAAGATACCATTACGCTTCAAAATAAATTTATTTTTAGTTAAGTTCGAATTTGTAACTTTAGCAGAAGCAAATAATCGTATGCAAAGTACCATTTTTGCTATTGGGAGGTTACCACTGCGCAAAAGTATCAATATTGAATATTTAAAACTTAAGTAATCATGCAAAATAATTATTCATAATGTAGGTGTAAAAAAAACGGTGTTAATGGCTTCTGTAGCTTGTTTTGAATATTAGAATAATAACTAGTAATGACTAACGATACTAATGACATATTAGAATACTTTGCTCTTTGTTATAGATAGTTAAGGTCAGGTGGTCAAGTGTGTGGTTAGTTAGCTCTTCTTATGTGTAGAAAGAGACTAAAAACCGTAAGATCTAACCTCTACTTACTTCTACAGAAAAAATCGATACCTAAAAGGATTTGTGGTTTTAATTAATAATGTAGTTTTGCTTCATCATAACACAAATGTTGTCTTGCTTCACACGTAAGCCATTCTTGACACTTGAAAACTAATGTACACACTATCGCAACAACGATAATACTAAAATCGATTTCAGTATTCGGAATCGCCTGGAACCACATGGTTGAATGGCGCTAGAGACTACAGTAGCGATATAAAGGTTGAAAATGCTACAATTTTTTACAATACAATAATTTTTTTCTCCGAAACTATGAGTTTTAGAAAAATTTTTTTCTATTTCCATTTTTTTTTTGAATAAGTTGTGAATCACCCTGTATATTTAACAGACCTGAGTAAAACTTTAGCACGGAAGGTGCCCTACTACTACGGTTTCCTGTCTTTGTTACTCCTGGTGCGGACTCTCTTGTTGAGCATCTCGCGAACAAATAAATGTTTAAAAAATTGTTTTTTTTTTATATAATAAAATCAGTAATAGCTTTCCGTATCGCCATTTGCTGAAAGAAATAAGTCGTAATAATAGCATGATAATCTTGGAAAACATATGATCCTACAAAAAATGTAACGCTATTAACACCAGATTGCCCATTTTTGCATTAGCAATGAATGAAAAAGTTGATGTTAATAATGATTAATGTTTGCAGATAGGCAATTTACCATAAAATATTGTCGATGTGGGATAAGCGTGAAACTGGCTGAATAAAATATCCATTTTATAAATAAAACTTAAATAAATAAAAAAATGAGTACCTATTTACATCTACAATTTAAATAAAATTTAGTTACAGATCAACCAGATCGAAGTCATATAACCGACAAATTAGTTTTGTTAAATTACTATTGAAAAATTGACACCTTTCAATGAAATAAGTCACAAATGATTGTCCAACGTAAAATTTAATTGAGGATGAGATGCAACCTACAAAGTGTCATCTTAGATGTCATTGTACCTAGCAATGCTTCATGCCTACTGGCAGAAAGTGACCTACTAATGCTATGAAAGTAAGACTAGTACCGTACGAGGCGATAAACTAGTGATATTTGAGGAAATAACTACTCTGCAGACTAAAGTCCTGTCCGGCAATAATTCATCTGATAACTGTTTACCGGATATTGAGGGTGAGTTTAATGCTGGACGAAGATAAAGTCTGCACAGTAGTTGTTTTCGACAGCATTATTAGTTACTTAAAATTTATTGTTTTTATGACTCCAATCGCATGAAACGTATCCTGTGACATTCTAATTGAATTCCTTGTGCGGTAAGCCGACAAAGAATTGACACAGATAAGCGATAGCGTCGCCGTTTTCTCCAAATATTTAACAAACTGCTGTGCAGTTTTTGCGCAACGTTCTTGTCATCGCGAAATTTTATGATTAATTTGTTTTACTGTGTGACCGCTCTTCCGCATTTCACTCTCCAGTACAGTGAAATAATTTTTGTCACTAGTATAGCTTTGTTCTGCATATAAATTAAGATTGATGTACGTGACAGAAAAATCAATTATATATTAAATAGACACTATTTCTCACTTTCACTAGAGATGGGACCAACTTTGTAATGATCAATGAAGATAGATTTTATTGTTAAATTCTTGTGTTTGGTACTTTCTGTCGACTTGTTTGTTGCCATGAATAAAAGAAATTTCACAGAAGTAAAAGATTCAATTAGTATCGAGGACTATAGAAATATTATTTCACCGAAATAACAAAAAAAGAAAATTCGAAATATTTGAAATTAATCAATTTTCGTAGTTGAAAACAGTGTTGCATTGTCGAAACCGAGAGAGTTGCAAGAAACTAAATTTAGATAGGACATAGTTAATACAATGCGAAACATCGCAATAATGTTAAAAATGCTGTCACCATAGTTCTTGGTGGTGAAAATTCGAAATATTTGAAATGATTCAATTTTAGTGGTTCAAGATAAATAAATAAAGAGTTCTAGATAAATATTTGGGCCGGTATTATTGATCGTTATTTGATTGGACCAGTTATTTTGCCAAATCGTCTAAGTGGCGAAAGTTATTTGGAATTTCTACAAAATACCCTCCCTGATCTAATGGAAGATTTACCGTTAGACTGGAGCTTTGGTTTATGCATGACGGAGCACCGCCTCATTTTAGTGCTACTGTTAGAGATTTTTTGAACCTTAAGTTTCCAAATAAATGGATAGAACGAGGAAATAATTGTCCTCAAAATTGGCGACCACGATCATCAGACCTCAACAAATGTGATTATTTCCTTTGGGGAACATTGAAGGATTTTGTTTATTCTTCGCTAGTTGAATTCTAAAAAAATTTGTGGAATCCTATTACAAATAAATGTAACCTTATAAGAAACGATCGTCATATGTTAGACAGAGTAAACTTCAATTTTCGGCGAAGAATAAATTTATATACATATCAGGGAAAATTGTGCCCATTTTGGGCTGGACCTAAAAGAAAATTCTCAACTATTTCCGTCCATATATTGACCCTAAGGTGTGTCTCTATGTACTCTGCTCTCTGATATTCCAACAAAATTTACCACTTTTGATCCTCTGCTGCTTGAAGTTTCCTGTTTTTCTTAAGGGATGATATCGATTCGATTAGCTGCTGAACTAACATTTGCGTCACTTTTATTATTATTATTATTTATTTGCAAGCAATAAAATATAATTATTAGTTCTGTTACCTGTTATTAAGAGCATGTCTGTTTCGAGATGGATAACTTGCTTAAATAGACTAGTATTAACGTTAAAAATTAATCATTATTTTGACAAGTAAAGGCCTACTTATTTTTGTTTAAAGTCTAAGTGATATGAACGTATAAATGATAATTGTTAAGAAATACTCGAATTAACTGCAAACTTGACTTTAATCACTATAACGTAAGTTAATATATGACACAATTCAATAAATTGTTATAATTGATGAACAAAGTTGGAAAAGTAACTGTCTCATCTAAAAATTAGGTTTGTCTCCACCATCCCTCCGCTCGCGCTTTCGTTTTTAAAACATTTTATAGTCACTGATAGATTGAGAAGTGGTTGCTTCAGCTATTGATGTCATAAGTAACGATTCTGAAGGAGATGGATATGTTTCTTTCATAGTTATTACTTTCGACAGAGGATGTTGCACAAATGGCTAAGGATTGGAACTGTTGAAGGAATATAGTGAAATTGAAACAAGACGTAGAGGAAAAGAGGATGAGGGTTGTTTAAATTATTGCTTTATTGTGTTGTTGAGAATGAAGAAAGTAAAAAATAACTTATGGTAAGATATAAGGTGCAAGGAAGAAAGGAAATAATGAGTTATAATCTTTGAGGGAAAAATTTTCCCGAAATAATAAAGATCTTCAATGGATAGAATTTTTTTTATTACATGAAAAAATGCACCTTCCTTTTTTAACTAAAGGTACCTACAAATCAAGAAATATTAACCCTCGTAGAACAACATTCCGTACAAAAGTTTGTTGTGACAACACAGAACCACACCTTAGTCTTTGTGACTCAACGATCTTAGTTTATCATTTATCTGAGATAAAATTGGACAGACTTATCAGATATTTGCCACTTAGAAAAATTATCTGCAAATAAGGACGCACAAAATAAATACATTTCTATATTGAAAGTTGGGACAAGTTCGCTTGGCTCATATTTTTAACCAAACTACTTTTATAATGTGTTATTTTACACAATTGTATGAACAACTGTTTCAATATCCCCCCGAAACCAACAATGTATCAAAATGTTTTTGTAGATGACAGGGAATTATTTTCCTGAGTGTCAGTTTAAATATATACCACCCTGTACTTTAATCACTCACTTAAAAGAGTCTATAAAAATTCCATTTCCAACCCATGGACACTGGGTAACAAGGATCTGTGGAGCGATTATAAATATCACTATAAACACAAAAGTTACAAGACGAGCAATAGAACAAAATTCTACAAATAATGTGGCCAGTCTCAGTTTGGATTGTCGCCAGCATTCTAGCCCGACCTTCACCCAAAAACTATATTTCGTTCCTGGAGGCATGTTCTTAACTTTCAAAATACACGCAAAATGCCCGAAAGCTGCAAAATACGCCTTGATAATACATAAAACAAAACAAGATACA